GTATCAACACGTTCCAGATGAACACACTGTCCGTGAATGGAGCTGGTGCTGAAGGTCCGATTGGCGGAGTACGGATTCCCGGAACCAAGAAGGAGACCGGTCGGTTTCGGGGCGTACATCGCCAACCGCTGAATCACGTTCAATCGGCCATGTTTACCTATTTTTTCTTCTCCTTTTTCTTCTTGTTTTAGGCGATCAGACGAGTCAGCCTAACCGTTCGCGATGTAACCTTTCGAACGGGTTGCCCAACGTATTTTTTTGCCCATTATGATGGAGTTTCGTTTGCGGTTTTGCGATTCTATTGGCCCTGAAATGGAATGGACGCGGTGCATTTCTCGTGATTCGCAAAGCTTTTAGTGGCGACGAGCAAACCGCCTTCGAAAGAACATCTGCTCGTTAAAAAAAGAATCGAAATTCCGTCGGTGTATCATTTATCTCTTTCATTTTCAAGGATGTTGTAGATTTAGACAGTCATTAATACGAGTAGAGATAGTTCGAATTACATATAAGGAATTTTTAATCTATAAATTTGTTAGAGCACAGCGACGTTATTTCATATTACTAAAAAAACTGAGAAAATTAATTTATATTAATATATTTATATGCCATATTTTGATAGTGCCGACAGGATTTATTTCGAAATATTCATATGTTTATTTATAAGAAAAGACGATTTCATATGATAAAGAATTATTATTTTCTTATCTGCATATTTACGATTTAAACAATCAGTCTGACGTAATATTCATTGCGTTCTAATTACTGTTAGGTATTTTATTTTATTTACTATACATAGTCTTCGCTTATCGATTTAGAACGGACTTCCGGTTTTACATTTTTCTCTTATTTCTTATATGAAAGTAACTCTCATACTCTCCCTCTCTTCGCTTATACCATATGCATTCTACAGACTATTGTTATACTTAATTGTAATAACAAATATACAAATACTTTGTGAGACATGTCCTACACAGAATGTTCGGCTATAGGTGTTAGGAAAATTAAAGGTAACTCTTGAAGTCTAAATAAGATGAAAATCAAGAATAAAAAAATTGTGTTTTCGGCTTTGTTTTTTAGTTATTGACAATTAAAAATCGGCTACAATATCCCTGCACGCGAGCAAACCTCCTTACACGAACGAAAGGAAATCAGCCTAAGCAGTGGGGCACATAGGCTGCAGCTTACCTCGTACAAGTCGTAATGAAGAAGACTACGATATCCAGAGACGTAAACGACCCTGTGCGACGTTTTGCAAAAGAAATGGTAAATTGAACATTAAACCTGCTTATTCGAATCCAATTACAGAAGTTGGCAAAGTTAATATAGAAATTAAAAGATTTTTTCTGGTATGTTAGAGATTTAATAACTAGTATATACTTTTATATTATATATGAAATAATTATAACAGCTATAAGATAACTGTGACAACTATACGAGTCATGACAAAGACATTATGCATTACATAACTGAAATATCATTTAGATCACATTTCTATCGATTTATCTTCTACCACGACTTGAAAAGCAGTTAAGATGGAGAAGACATTGGAGAGATACTGAACTAGTATGAACTTACTATTCGTATGGTATCCTCGATTAGTCGCATTTGATATTCAAACATAGACATGGCTTACCGAACAATAATAACCCAAAGAAAGCTCTTGTAATACACAGGTGACCGAAAGAACTACTGGTTTTTGATTATATCGATATATCAATACAGTCAGTGGGTACTTTTACATTTGCAATCACTTTTCACACTATTTTTCATCATGTGCACTTTGTGAAATGTTTATACTGTAGAAATTATGAAGAGGAAAAATTAAAAAGACTATGCTTAACCAAATGTGATTTATAAGTTTAGTATGATGTATCATATCCTCCATGAGATCAGCTGGCCACGCGTACATGTAAATTTGCATAAGCACAGAGTGTATGTAATTATGTATACTGTAGAAATTATGAAGAGGAAAAATTAAAAAGACTATGCTTAACCAAATGTGATTTATAAGTTTAGTATGATGTATCATATCCTCCATGAGATCAGCTGGCCACGCGTACATGTAAATTTGCATAAGCACAGAGTGTATGTAATTATGTATACTGTAGAAATTATGAAGAGGAAAAATTAAAAAGACTATGCTTAACCAAATGTGATTTATAAGTTTAGTATGATGTATCATATCCTCCATGAGATCAGCTGGCCACGCGTACATGTAAATTTGCATAAGCACAGAGTGTATGTAATTATGTATACTGTAGAAATTATGAAGAGGAAAAATTAAAAAGACTATGCTTAACCAAATGTGATTTATAAGTTTAGTATGATGTATCATATCCTCCATGAGATCAGCTGGCCACGCGTACATGTAAATTTGCATGAGCACAGAGTGTATGTAATTGGAAGCTGTACTCTCTCTATGTTATACACAAACTTACCACAATCATTGTAATTCCACATATAGTCAGAACTAACGTGCCTATCGTAATAGCATATAATATCAAATAGCGTAAATAACTAATCGCTTCTTTTGCGTATCTAAGAAAAAGAAAAATCATTTATAAACTATTAAATGTCATTAATTCATACGTTCATCTAAAAAATAAAAAACCATATATACTATTTAATTCATATATTATAAAATATTACCTTTACCTTCTTAACAGTAACCTCTTAACAGTATTTACTTTTTCACACGCACACGATATCTATGTATATTAGAACAGTTCTGGAATTCCACGGCGAAACATTCAAATCACGCCGCGGTAAACCAAAGTAAAAACGCTGTAAATAAACTTAATGCACATTAGTACTTCGTCGACTACACGCTACGATCCGTTGCTGAAACGTACATCTTTTGATATCAAACAATAAAAACAAATGAATAAGCTTGAAAAATACTTAAAATACAAATTAAAGACACGAATTTAATAACTCACTTTTTGATCAATTTGTGACATTTAGTTAGTCAAATAAATTAAAGCAACATTATTAAAAAATAATATGGAGACAAAGAGAAGATGGTATGTCATTTAAATAATCATTTCTCAAATATTTTATTTATATAATACCCAAGCTTTGATTATTAGTAGGAACTTGGTATTAGTAGGAAAACCCGTAGAATATAAAAGGTAACATATGCGTTATAGTATATAGAATATCATACATACCTTTATTCGTGATTTAATTCTTAATCACAGTAAAAATATAAATCCGCAAAAATCATGGTATACCCACGATCATAATCATTGGTTGCATTACATAACTGGAGCGTGCGACATTAGACAGATACAATAGGAAATTATTATGAACCGATGTCAATATTCATATAGCAAAACTAAAAGTTCTTTGAAAAACTAAAATTGCATATGTGCAATAAATTACATATTCAGTTTCTCTGACAACGGCTGTTATTCGCAATACGAAAAACTATTCGAACGAAGAACGAACCTACTCTAAACATCCAGGAAATCTGTCAATACGAGTTTCCTTTGAGACAAGCCTACATTTGTCGCGATATTATCGTTGTAGAGGATGGATATTTCATGGAATAAGTGTATTTAGCAGCATTCTTCCGTCTATTAATTATAACCGATACAACAAAAGAAAAGAACAATCAATCAAACGTAAAGAAACTATAAACAGAACAATTCGTACGATACCCAGATTTCCCTACCCTACCCTAAGAGGTTCCACTTTAGAGGTATAAATATTGTCATCGATACAACTAGTTATGGAACTCCACACAACTATCATTTTGTGATTTCTAATCTCGACTATTAGCCATTTATGACACATATTTCCACAGTTATCTATCTCCACACAATTATCATTTTGTGATTTCTAATCTCGACTATCAGCTATTTCTGACACATTTATTCTGGCTCGTCTTGTAGCATAGCACGCAAACCGGTACAGAAGGACAGTGCGTTGGACATAAACTGCAATCATATCAATTCGTTATTTACGTATATATTATTCTTAATTAAGCTGTTAACCAGGAAAAGCGCGTTCTAGTTTTTGTCCGTCTGACTACCAATTTTCATAGAAGCAGATGAGATCACATTTTGTTTATTCATCGTTAAATTTTATCCTTCTCCTCATTGATTCTATCTTTATTTCGTTTCTTTCTTTCGTTCGTATAAATCAGACTGAAGATTCTATTAGCTAATAATAAGTATCAACATCCACGTGGCAGGACTGAAAAAAGAACTAAGGAAAGGACAAGCTGGGGGCATAGTGGTAGGAGAAAGAAAGGTATGGTCACTGACATATGCAGGCGATATTGTGCTGATGGCGGATAGAGAAGAGGAGCTAAAGGAAATACTAAAGAGATTCAAAAAAATTTTTAAGCCGAATTGAAACTGAGCACGGAAAAAACCAAGATAGTAGTTTTTTGAAAAAAGAAGGAACAAAAGGAGACAAAGAAAATGGAAATGGGGAGAGCAAGAATTAGAAAAAGTGGACGAGATAAGATACTTAAGGTACATACTGCAGAAAAACGACAGTGATAAGAAACACATACAATAATAATACATAATAATATATAATAACTAAATTCGTAGTACCCGTTGTGGGATGTCGTGCCAATATCGAAGCTATTGATTCAATAGTATGTGATATACATTATAGATAATGTAATTTTCCTATAATCAATTATGTAAATAATGTGTGTAATATAATAAATAATGTTATTTATCAATTATAAAGTGCGCAAGGGCGGTCATAAAAGTTAGTTTCAATTATTTATCTCATATAATGCATATATTTCTTAAATATTATTTAATGGGAACATTCAATAATATTCATTACATAATATTTATTGATATAAATTATATATTTCTTCATGAGTTTGAATATATGCGTTGCTTAAATCAAATAACTGTCGATATTTAGATAAAAATTTTAATAAATATAACAAATGAAAATATATATTATACTTTTTAAATATAGGAATTCATTTAACACGTAGTAAAATATATTAAAGAAAATTAATGTGTAATTATTTTTTTTATATCAGTAGCTCGTTTGAATAGTCTGTACTGAAACAGTAAACTACAAAGAACACGAATCAGCTGCGAACTGTCAAATTTTTGTATTGTTACACATTCGTTAACATTTATAACTTGTTTAACTTGAAAATATTAGGGTAAGGAATGGAATCATATGGTTCCTACTTTTATCTTTTAGCATGAAAAGTATTGATAGGTTTTAATATAGAAAATAACGATATACACACAAAAGTAAGGTTAGAAACGCTTGTTTTTGAAAGAACGTTTTTGTAAATATAGGAAACAGGTGATGCACAATGTCTCCTGACCCTACACAAGAACCCATCGAGGAATCATTAAATATACCAAATTTACCTCTTGATAGAGGTATGAATGCATCGGATAGTGAAGATGATGATATAGGAATGGCAGGATATATACCACTATCTCAGGTTCCTACTGACAGTGATCCGATGTTGTATGATGACGAAGTATGTTTATTATTTAATGAAATATTTCATTTATATATGATGAGTACTTATATTACACAATTTCTTAATTTCTTAGGATGATGAATGGATAACTAACGCAGCTGAAACTAATCAAACATTGAGATCCCCAATATTGGAATCACAGAATGTACGAATTCTTTTAGATTTAAGGAACAATGTTACTGTATTTGTCTTTTAATATTTTTATTGATAATGTTGTACATTTCTTATAGGACTGTATGTCAGAAACAATAGAAGTTTGGTCATCTCCTCACAATCGATCTAACATAGATATGGATGCAGATAAAATCAATCAAGTGAAATCTATGATGGCATCTTTTACTTTACCAGTTACAGCAATTCCAGAATGGGCAAAAGCTATATCAGAAGAACAATGGAAGGAACAACTTATTGGACGTATTAAAGAAATGCAAAATAGAGAAAAATAAATTTAAATATTTCTTAATTAATTCTTTTATATAAAATTATGTATATAGATTAATACAAATTAAAGCAATCTTCTTTTTCAAGTTATAAATTTGTTATCCATTAATAAATGTTAAATTTCCAAATAAGCAAAGTTAGTGTATACATTTAATTGTATACAGTAGACAAATCTGATATCATGTAAACTGTAACAAATAAAAATATTTATTTTATCTTAATTAAACTTTCACTTAATATATGTTGATATATGTCCTATATAAGAATATTTTGTATTTTATTATAGTCAATGCACTTCACTTTATACCAGCACTAAGTTTTTATTTGTTTGTGATAAATGATTACATGAATATATGGTATGATACTGTTCAACATATGAAATCATGCTTCTGCCCAGTCATACACTGCAAAGAACACACTTGCATTAATGATATCAAATAAAGGTACAATGACACTTATAGTTCGAGATCTACACCGATACTGGCAGCTTTTTTGGGATTTAATTTCAATCGTAAAGTGGCAACATCGTCTTCTATTCTTACTAATTTTCGGAATTTCTGAAAGAAAAATATGATTTAAATTTTGTAAAATTGAGAAATTTTAGAAAAAATTGTATTGTTTAGTTAATAAGATGATTGAAAAAAATGTTTAGTTAATGTACCTCAGAGATAGTTCCAGATGTTGTAAACCAAATATAAATCATATATCCAGGAATACATAACATTGAAGAAAGACCACAAAGCCATCCTAACACGTGACTCCACCATGGATATTCATACGTAAGATATTTTACGGGAACGAATTTAATTATGTTAAAAGCAAAAACGCCCTAATTTGAAAGTTTATTTTAATTAGACATGATCAGAAATGTAAATTAACAATTATATGTATATGTATAACAATGGAAGTTGTTATTTTACCACACAAACAGCAGGAGTAGTGAAGGTCCAACATATTTTCCACCAGTAACATGGATAATAACCAATCATATCACGAATTCCATCGTAGAAACGATTTACACCGAATGCCCACGAGACGGCAATGCATTCAAAGAATATTAAAAACAGAAGGCAAAATCCACTAATGGCATACGAATCCAAGAGTTGAAAGACATACATTCCTCCCTGAAAGGATTATGAAAATACTCTTTTCTGTGATTGATTTATATACAATGATAAAATTTAATTTTTGTTAATTACTCACTTCAGTAACGCAAGAAAGACCAATAAGATACGAGATAAAACAGACGATTGCTATGAATAATTCTTTTCTTTTTCTGAGAAGACGCGGCCATTCATCTACCGCGGCTGTTATAAAGCCTTCAACTGTACAAAACTGTAAAACGTAATAATCGATTATTTCATTTTCGTCACATTAAAATATTTTAAATTACCTGACTGTCCAAGCCAATAAGGATAAGCATAAAAAAGAATAAACAAGACCAAATTGATGATCCTGGTAATTCTAAAACTGCGGAAGGATAAACCAGGAAAGCTAAACCTGGGCCTAATTAAAATATTTAAAAAATATAAGATATTAGCACCAACAACAGATATTAAAAACAGTTTAATTTAATATTAATTATCATAATTACCAGAAGCTGCCACGTCCGCCACAGGTTTTTGTTGTTCGTGAGCCATGAAACCAACAACAGAAAATATAACAATACCACTAAGCATACTAGTACATGAATTCACTGTACAAACAATTAACGCATCCCTAAAATAAATGCAATATTTTATGTGACAACACATAAACAAACGCGATATTAGTTGAATTAAATGTAATTAAAATTATTTGAAAGAAATATATTACGTTTAAATAAAACGTAAATTACTCACTTATAAACATTATTATTAAATTTATTGTAACTTCCAAGAGCAACCAATGCACCTAGACCCAACGCATAAGAAAAAAATATTTGAGTCACCGCATCTATCCATACCTATAAACATTTATTAAATTACTGACAGAAAAGGAAAAAAAAGTAACAAGATTCTAATACCTCGGGATCACTGAGTTTTGAAAGATTTGGCGTTGCATAATATTTTAAGCCTTCTATTGCCCCTGGTAGGCTTAATCCCCTGACCAATAAAACTGCTAACAATGCATATGGAAATAATGATGTAAAGTACACAACCTATACAAAAATTAATATCGATTATAAGTCAATTTTACTTATAAATTATAAATAATTATGGAATCTTACTTTTCCAGTCCACTTCACACCTTTCCAAATACAAAAATAACACATGATCCACACGATAGCCAATGTACCTGCTAGTTCCCATCTTATTGAACCTATGTTTTCTATACCATCAGAAATTTGAAGAGTACGCCTCCTTTTTAGAATAAAAATGATATATACGAGTATAGAACAAGAACTACAGTAGGTAGTTCTTCTTGTGTCATACAAACTTACTCCCAAAATTCTTTCACTGGATCGTTCAGTAAAGTGTGGCTTAAATTACCAATCGAAGTAGAACATATCGTATCTTCTTCTTCGGGCCAACATAACGCCTCTAAACGTTCTGAAGATGTGAGACAGTAACGTGTATTCCAAGGATTGCCGCATGTTCTCCATGGCACATCTATGTACATATTTAACTAATATTTAAAAAATTCTATTTGTTGTGCAACCGTATTAATATTATGTATGTTATTTTCGTACCAATTCGTAAAGAAACCAAGAAGTAAAAAAGTGCCCATGCCAATATAATAATATAGTATACGTTAGTCCAACAGGAAAGTACACAAGTGGCGTATCCAATGCCTGTTTGTAAAAATATTTAATGGTGAAGTAGTAGCGAAATGTTTAAGCGGGTATAATTAGCAATATAAACCTTTGAAAATCGGAGCTATCTTAAAGACACCTAATCCTCCTATAGTCATCATCTGTCCTAATGATAACTCCATTAGGAACATGGGTACTCCGGCAAGTGCAAGAGCGATAAAATAGGGAACCATAAAAGCACCACCGCCATTTTTATAGCAGAGGTAAGGAAATCGCCATAAATTTCCTAATCCTATGGCCAATCCTACTACGGATAGGATAAATTCGATCTTAAAACAAACAGACAAAAACAATTCCACATTAATAATCAGCCATGATATAGATATCTGCATGTCTTTTTTGTCATACAAGTTTTGCTGTTATAATTCATATAAATGCTTTTTATATGTTCACCTTACTGTTCCACATTCCTCGATCCGGCAATGTTTTGGTTTCTTTAAAAGCCGAAGATTGCAAGCATTGAATCGCCTCAAAACGAAAATCTTGCTCTTTACCGCCATTTGAGACTCTTAAGGGTGGTTCAGCAAACAGAGCTTTTAATTCTTGAACAGGATTCACTGGCCTACATGGCAGAGGACTAGTGGACCTATCTACCTTGGGTACCTTAGAAGACCCGCTCGAAGGCATTATTTTCTGTCCGAAATACTAAATCGATCGAATTCACCTCATCCTATTAATTCTTGTTTTAACCTGTAAACAAATATGAATTTCTAAAGAAACCTCTGATAATTGGCCTTCTGGAATTCTTGAATATTTAGAACACTGAATGTGCAATCTACAGCCATTTAAACGTTCAGATCTTGGGTTTTTCTTTAAAATTCGAAAGATTAATGTCGTTTAATTTATGTACACTTTTCATATGTCTAATTAAAAAGAACGTGAACGTTAAATAAATTGTAATATGCAGCAAGTGAAAGATAACGCGATCATTTCTGAAGAACTTTGAATATTCAGCAGTCATCGTAGTTACGTGAGATACTTCTACACAAGGGTCTTGATGATGATGGATGACAGACAACGAGCCACTTCCGGGAATCACGTTTGTCAAACGTTGTTCCCATCGAACAACCTTGTCCTATTTTAGATTAATCATCGGTGAAAGAAACGATGTCATCGGAGATCATCACGTGGAACAACGAACTATGCGATCGGCGGACGTCTCGTCACAATAAAATTCATCCCGATTTAAACTTTCAATTTGCCATGTAGGAGGTAGAAAATTATTCATTAGCAATTCTGTCGTTCCATTTCAAGTACCTACTCAATCCACACTTGGTGAATTATCATAGTTACAACTGAGAAACATATAAGATTCGTCCAACTTCCAATTGTAAACAAACTGCTGTATCGACAATCATTAACGAATTATTCATGGGTGCAATGTCCTTTTAATGATACCATCCTCGGTATAAAACAATTTACAACTTCTACACTTCAATTGTGTAATAAGCTCAATTGTATAGTGACTGACTTGAATGAATGAAGATAAATTAATCTTTAGGATATTTTCAGCCAATGTTACTGTCACCCTCAACGATTATGTCAATATACAAATAAACCAATAAACGTTAACGTAATACAATTTACGATATAAACAAAAATAGCAAAAATAATATTTAAAAAATGTGAAATATGAAATAAATTATTTTTATTAGAAGATAAAATCCTGCTGATTATATTTTTTTATTGAGGCATCTCTTATACTCTTCCAATAACTATATAAACTACGTTTTACGTATAATAATGAGAAAGAAGATACAACAAGAAGAATCAAAATATGAGAAAATCACTCAAATCGAGAAACACATAACGTAATGTCAAATAGACATAATGCACATAAAATGTTATGGACATAACCACTGACTATTTAAGTAGTATCTGACAGTCTATCGACAGTCATGTCTCACGGGAAAGGATATTCCTCTTTTGCAATACCGTTTAAACAATGTACGTACGTGCACAATTTCACGAGTAGATATGAACTGAGATTTTCACTGGACTTATATATCGATAACAGCCGTGAAACGTCGTAGGCGAAAGAAAATTGATGAAGCGTGTCGTATGTCGGCCCGTGTCGTTACGTTCACAAATCGCGCTTACGTACGATGAGTGTTGAGATTTCTACTGTGCCCTACAGATCTACCCCACAATGGCGTTCAGTCCCCCAAGCACCAACACACCTTCGTTTCATTCAACAAATTAGTGCCACAGTGTCACTCTATATTTAGGTGCACTATGTGAATGGTGAGAGAGCCCCGGAGTTCGCTAATAACTGATTGACCACACCGATGGCCGCGAATTGCTCCCTTCTTTCAAGAGTACATTTAGAATGCACTGAACTACACTTGATCTTGACTTCATAGTACATACATCATCAACTTATTCTAAAGTAAAATACAGTTGGGTATCGATTTCATTAGTAAACGATCTATTATAAATCTGTTCATATATGATCCAATAGATTTGTTGATAAGCATTAGAATATCTGCAGTTAAAAAAAAAAAGAAATAGTCGATATATCATACTGTTTTAAGGCATGAAGGAAAAACAGGTAAAAATGAAAGCATGATAAAGGTAAAGAATAAATTAAAGTATTATAAAAAAAATAATACAATGGTGGTTTAATAAGAATGATATCAAGGAGTACTAGGAATTATATCGAAATATTAGAATAATGGAAAACGGAAATGAGTTGTGAAAGAATAATAGCCGGAAACATTTTGTAAACTCTCTCTTCCGGTTAATTGCTACAATTTCACGAGTACAAAATAAATGTTTGTTTAGTTAAAATTGAAGGAGACAAAGATTGTACAAATAACATTCAAGATAATAGCAATACAATGTGTTCAACGCGAAAATTATTTTATTAAACAAATTCTCGGATACTTTTTACCTGGGTATAGTATTTATTTTTTTATATATACAACAATGTTTTTATTTTATAAAAGTATTATAGATATAATTGATTAGTATATGGAATATAGAACAGTATAATTAACTCATATATAATCATTTCATTAAATAATAAAATTTTAATTATCTGTCATCCATCGTATGTCTACATAAATAACATATTATTTTGTGTCTACTATTCTCAAATTGTTTTATTAATTATACAAGATATATTACATATATACTTGTAAATTTTACCTGCAGAAAATATCTCATTTCAATACATAAAGACTAAAATAATTTCTTATTAAAATTCTTATTAATTATTATTTGAATTCCTATTAGTTACTTATTCCTTTACAAAAATAATAATTAAAAAGGATAATTTAATGGTTTTTATATATAATAATAGAAAAACGCATATTCGTTTAAATATTATGTAAAATTTAATTGATTTATAGCAGCCTAAAAACCTTTAAATTTTCATATTTAAACTGTCAAACTACGATAATGTTACGTCACGTGACGACAATCTTTACTTCCGATTCGCGCCAAAAGCCGGTAGGACGACACCATAAACTAATCCAACTACTTTACAGGACAAGTAGTTTAATAATTATTTCCATCTCTTAATCGTAAACTAATTGTGATCTTAAAATGGTTGGAAAAGGAAAGATGTATGTGATAAAACGAGGTATGTTATAAACTTTATTATTCTGATATTATGTCGAGTAATCTTAATGTAATCCTATTACGAATCTTATTATTATAACACTAATCAGTTTTTGTAATTATTAGATGGACGTAAAGAAGATGTTCATTTTGACAAAATAACATCCAGGATTCAAAAGTTATGTTACAATTTAGATATGGATTATGTGGATCCTGTAAGTTTACTTATTTTCAGATTATTTATTACTTAATTATTTATTTTTTAATATTCTATATCTTTTTCATAGTCTGCAATTACTTTCCGTGTTATCAGTGGTTTATATTCAGGTGTAACCACCGTTGAATTAGACAATCTTGCAGCTGAAACTGCTGCAACTATGACTACTAAACATCCAGATTATGCGATATTAGCTGCAAGAATTGCAATATCTAATCTTCATAAAGAAACAAAGAAAAGCTTTAGTGGTAAGATAAGAAATATGTTCAATTCATTTGTTTATTTCTAATTTAGAAATTCAATGTTTCGTTTTTATTTGAATCTTCCCTTTCCATTTATAGAAGTAATACATAACTTATATAATGTAAAGGAACATTATACAAATGAAGTTAGACCTGTTATTAGTGAGAAATATTACAATATCATACAAAATAATGCAAATAAGTTAAATTCTGCAATAATTTATGATAGAGACTTTAGTTATAATTACTTTGGTTTTAAGACACTTGAAAGAAGTTATTTATTAAAAATACAAGGGAAAGTTGTTGAAAGACCACAACACATGTTAATGAGAGTTGCAGTTGCCATTCATGGTGAAGATATTGATAAAGCTATAGAAACTTACAATTTTTTATCAGAACGTTATTTTACACATGCATCTCCATCACTTTTTTTTGCCTGTACTAGGCAACAGCAAATGTCTAGGTATATTTATCAAGATTAAAATAAAATGTACTTATCCATTCCAATGTAATAATCTAGTGATTATATTTTTCAGTTGTTTTTTACTAACAATGAGTGATGATAGCATAGATGGAATTTATGATACATTAAAAAGATGTGCACTTATTAGCAAATCAGCTGGTGGTATTGGACTTAATGTACATTGTATTCGAGCAAGAGGCACACCAATAGCTGGTACACTTGGTGTATCTAATGGTTTAATTCCAATGCTCAGAGTATACAATAATACAGCTCGATATGTTGATCAAGGAGGAAATAAAAGACCAGGAGCATTTGCTATATATTTAGAACCATGGCATGCAGATATCTTTGAATTTTTAGATCTTAAAAAGAATATTGGTAAGCTACATGTTTGTCTCTGTATTTTGGAATATTTTGATTACCTATTTTAATATTCTTATACTTAACATTTTATATCTAATAATAATTGACAGGTAAAGAAGAAAATAGAGCAAGAGAATTATTCTATGCTTTATGGATACCTGATCTTTTTATGAAACGAGTTTTCGATAATGGTGTATGGTCTTTAATGTGTCCACATGAATCTCCTGGTCTACCTGATGTTTGGGGCGATGAATTTGAAGCTCTCTATACACGGTAAATTAAATTAAATTATGTATATTGATGATACATAGTAAAATATATCGACAGTGTTGAACATTTTTTTAAATAAATACATATTATTTTTAGATATGAGAATGAGAAAAGATATAAACGTCAGATTCAAGCGAGAGATTTATGGACAGCTATTCTTGTTTCTCAAGTTGAAACAGGAACTCCTTACATGCTTTATAAAGATCATTGTAATCGTAAATCAAATCATCAAAATTTAGGGACAATCAAAAGCAGTAATTTGTGTACAGAAATCGTACAATATTCCAGTCCAGATGAAATCGCTGTATGCAATTTAGCTTCAATCGCAGTGAACATGTTTGTAAACTCCAGTAATCAGACATTTGATTTTGAAAAACTGCGAAAAGTAACAAAAATTGTTACTTGTAATTTAGACAAAATTATCGATGTGAATTATTATCCGGTTCATGAAGCAAAAACATCAAATTTTAAACATAGGCCTATAGGTATATAAATATTTTTATGTGAAATATTAAGTATACAATATTTATATAGTTTTAATATTTTTTAATATTTGTTATATGTATTTTAGGGATTGGAATTCAGGGTCTTGCAGATGCATTCCTTTTAATGCGATATCCGTTTGAAAGTGAGGAAGCACAAAAACTTAATATCCAAATATTTGAGACATTATATTATGGTGCATTAGAGGCTAGTTGTGAACTTGCTGCAGAGAAAGGTACATATGAAACCTATGAAGGTAGTCCAGTTAGCAAAGGAGTAAGTAAATCATACGTAAAAATATTTTACTTTAATGATTAATTTATCATAATAGCATTAGTATATCACAATATATATGCTAATTATTTAGGTACTTTCAGATTTTACAATATGATATGTGGAATGTTACTCCAACTAATTTATGGAACTGGACAATTCTGAAAGAAAAAATTGCTAAACATGGAGTTAGAAATTCTTTATTAATCGCCCCTATGCCAACGGCATCTACTGCACAAATCTTAGGAAATAATGAATCTATAGAACCATATACCAGTAATATTTATGCAAGAAGAGTTTTGTCTGGAGAGTTTCAAGTCGTAAATCCTCATTTATTACGAGATCTGACTGAAAGAGATCTTTGGGATGAGGATATGAAAAATGAAATTATAGCAAATAATGGTTCTGTACAGGTAGGTTTATATAAATAACCTCAATAATCAGGATCTGACGTCCTGATTAACTAGAATTTTAATTATCCGAATCTCGGTGTTCCAGCACAGATGCCATACGCGATACAGTAGTGCTATACCTTTAATTTAACTAAATTCAGAATCAAATAGTTCCTTCTTTCGAGCAGACCCTTCTTTACAATATTATTATAATAGATTTGTTTTGTTATAGAATATCGAACGTATACCAAATGATTTAAAAATGCTTTATAAAACCGTTTGGGAAATACCACAGAAGGTAATATTAAAAATGGCAGCAGATCGTGGTGCATTTATAGATCAGTCACAGTCAATGAATGTTCATATGGCTAAACCAACAACAGAAAAACTGACTTCAATGCATTTTTATGGCTGGAAGATGGCAAGTACTCTTATTTAATCCTTATAATTCAAAATTTTATATAATTATTTTAATGAAACTTATTAAATATACAAAAACACCTTGCAGGGTTTAAAGACTGGTATGTATTATTTAAGAACGAAACCAGCAGTAAATGCCCTACAATTCACGGTTGATAAGTCAAAATTACGAAATACAGTCAGTACTACTTCTAATCAATCTGTTAATTCTGAAAGTAGCAATGACGAGAAACTCATAGAAGTATTCGCATGCTCTCGTGAAAATGGAGATGCGTGCATGGCCTGTGGATCATAGAAATAAATATTTACAATTTTTTAAATTTTGTATACGGTTATGAGTATTATATGTATTTAAGCATATTTTTTGTAATACTATATACTATATAGTTAATACTATATAATTTTGAAAAATTCTAAAATAAAGCTATTTGCCCTTGATTTCATGTATTATTCCTTTACATTGTAACATTTAATATTTATTATTTGCACTAAAGGTTTCGAATAAATTAAGATATAAAGATTATAATTTAAAATTCCGCGCGAAACAGGGTAGTCAACTAAATCTAAATAAATGTGGATCACTGTTGTGTTCTTTATATGCTGCTACAGTCAAGTGTTCGAGAACAGCGTCACTACGGTAGTCAAGTGAAATGTCAAAATTGCAAGCGTGAAGACGTACATAGTTGCGCATCAGTTAACTGTTGTGTAAATTTCGTTAAAGATCTAGAGTGAATATATTCATTTTGGACTCATTTGTGAGTGATTCGGCATTTGAGCCGATTAAGTATGTAATGATCTTATTTTCTGATCAAAGGAAAATAAAGAAACGTTAATAAAAAAGGATTTTTCTGTAACGAATTTTGGCACTGATATCCAGCTGATGCATTTTAACATATTTGACAGTTGAAATTGCGTAATTGTTGCCAGGATTTTCTTATGAGTCTTTTTACGCAATTTATCTAAATTGCCGTATAGAATGGCGGATTTGGATGACTTATTTCATTTAGATCAATACATAGGTCCAGAATCTCTTGCAGAATTATGTTTCCAAGTAATCTGCAAAAATTTAGACATTATCTCAGTAAAGGATAAGTGTGAATATCGAAATCTTTTAAAAGGAGTGGTTTTCCCAAGCGAAATATGCGATAAACTTATTGAATACGTTTTACGAAACGATATAAACGAAGATCATGACTGTTTCTTTACGATTTTCAAAAATGTATGGATAACCAAACTTAAACGTGTCAAAGTTGTAGGATCCAATATAACCGATGATTCAGTACAGATCCTTGCAAATCACAAACTTGTAAGATTAGAACTTACAGATTGTCCCAATTTAACAGACCGATCTATTGATTACATAAATGCAAATGCAGAAAATTTGCATACTTTAGTATGCCGTGGTAGTTCTGGAATTATTCCGGAAAAACTTACAGGTAAGAACTCTTTATTACTAGAATAACTTATAAAAATCTATAGTTCCACTGACAGGACACTATTATGTTTTATTATACTTTTCTTTATTGATATCTATTAATAATTAAAATTATGTTCAATTTACGTCTTATAAAAAACATAGATATGCTATTATTCAAATTAATAACTAATAATAAATAGTTACTAATAAAATATTTATTTCGCATTAAGGTATGAGTTATTTTATATTATGAATAAAGCATTTATATTATTATTTTGCAGTTTAATTATTAATATATTTAGAATATCTTATTATTAATATTATTTGCATTTAGTTGTATCATAAAGAAAAAAAAATATAAGAGATATTAAGTTAATGACATATAGTATATTTATTTAATAATATATAAAATTAATGTATATACTTTTTAATTATTAGCATACCAGAAACAAGGACATGTATTTAAAATACCAAATCTACGGACCTTGGCTATAGAATATGTTCAAATTTGTGCCTTGGATTATAACATACTTTTGGGTGGATTAACAAATTTAACAAATTTAGATTTGTCCAATAGTTCTGATATGGGCACCTTTGATTATTTTCATTTGGTTCCTAATTTAGTATCCTTAGTTTTATATAATGTTAGAATTATTTCTCAAGCACAAGCCTTTGTTACCAATATCTGTCACTTGAAACATTTAAGGTAATTGTTTATTTATATTTGACTTATGGTATAATAAAATATTGTATTCAAAATTTTTAATTCAATGTTTTTAATATTAGGCATTTGGATATCTCTCAAATCCATCCAGAAGATGGAATATTTGCAAATCCTAATACAATCTTATCTGATATAGTAAATGGTTTGCCTCAACTAACTTCTTTAGATATTAGTGGGACAAATTTAGCAGGAATAGAAATTGTAGATCGTAGAATACAAACAGTTGAAAATTCTTTCTATTCTGACATATATAATAATAATCTTTGTGATATACCAGGTCTTATTTCAAGAGTGGATAGACCTTTACAGTTTTTAGGACTTTATGGAGCAAATGATGCACCTTGCAGGCGACGTAATATTCCAGCAAAATTGGTAAATAGTAAAAGCAATATTTTATAACAAATACATAATAATATTGTATATTTTATCATTTATTTTTTAATTATTCTGCTTTTTGAAATTCTAGATTGCAGGAAATGCAAATGAAGATCAAATATTGGTTGCAGCTCACGTTTATATGAATAATAGAGAAGATCTAATGTTAAAAGTAATAAGTGATTTATATCATATGTACAGATATGAAAATTGTCATAGGATGGATCAAGCACTTTGCGCAGTATTAGAAGCAATGGAGAAATATCCTACTCTGAAAGATATACAAATATCTGGAAGGTATTTATATATTATATGATTTTTGTATACTGTTATATTTATCATATATTTCAAAAAATTGAGTACAGCTCGTGTTGTTTATATTTAACAGTGCAGCACTGTTTTATATTGTAAAAATGAAGGAAAAAGGCGAACTTGAAGCAAGATTAAAAAGGAGAATTGTTCGCACACTTCTTGTTGGAATGAGTATTCATAAAAATGAAGAAACTATGATGCGTAATGGTTGCCTAACATTATACCAATTCCGATTGCCACAAGATGTGGTATGTATTGTTCTTGTTACTTGCAGTAATAGCATATGTAGTTATATTGTAAAATATATTTTAAAGGATGTTAATAATTCTTATTTACCTTTTATTAGATGTCACACTATGAAACATTGGTAAAATTACTTTTGCATTTAGCTAAACATGCACAACAGGAAAGTTATGTTCAACGCATTGGAATATTTCTTTTAAATACTTTGGCATGTCAAGTAACAGGCAGAGAAAAGCGTTTATTAGGCGATCTAGGTTGCATAAAAACAATGCTTGAACTAATTAAATACAGAGTTGAATCTAGAACATTTGATGATGTTATGGAAGTAGCTTGGTCAACTATGTGGAATGTAACTGATGAAACTCCTATAAATTGTCAACGATTTTTTGAAGAAAATGGCATGCTATTATTCTATAGATGTGTGATGGTATACAATATTAATCTTACTTATTAATAAATAGTTACTAAATAAAAACAATTACTTCATGAATGATTTATTTTTACAGCAATACTCTCGCAAAGAAGAATTATTAAAAAATATGATGGGTTTACTTGGTAATGTAGCCGAAGTACAAAGTCTTAGAGTGCATCTAATGCAACTACCATACATGGTAGTTTTCACAAATTTAATACGTACTGTCAGAGAAAGCATTGAGGTTTTTTATACTTATATATTGACAATATATTTAATAATTATATTTTTACAATACTTAATATATTTTCTTTGCTATTAGGTACCATATAATGCAGTCGGGATATTAGCTCACATAGCATCTGATGGTGTTGAAGCATGGACAATAGAAAAACCTAGTCGAAATGTAGTTCTTGAACTTATGGTTGAAGCTATTGAACGATGGGATATATCATCAGAACGTAATATTAATTACCGCTCATTTCTACCACTATTACGTTTGGTAGATATTTATCATACACCACAATGTCAACATTGGGCGGTTTGGGCTCTTGCTAATCTTACAACTGTATATCGTGAGTATATATATAATTTAATTTTATTTTAAATACAATCATTTTTCCATTCTATATATTCATACATACAAATATTTTTTTGAAGTTTTATTACCTTGCAACTTTTATTAAAACTATAATTATTTCTTTAACAGCCCATAAATATTGCATATTAGTTATTCGAGAAGGAGGAATTGAGAAATTGAATACTTTAATCTCAGATCCAAGACCATATGAGCGTATAAAAGAACTTGCCCATATTGTAATTGAAAATTGTAGTCGTTATAGTAGCAACTCCAATGACATGAATGTTCATTCCCCTTTAGATGAAGACTATATATATAGCTCAGATGGTTGAAAATCAATTTTCATTATTATAATTCAAACACCATAAAAAGTAGAATGTTTTATGTCTGTAACAAAAAGTCTCCTAAAGAAAAGAGTGTGAGTAAGATTATAAAACTTGCTAAAGCATTTGTATGTTGGTTTGCCAAACTGTAAATTTGAAATTGAGTGGTCAAACAATCTTACTCGCACTTTCATCACATAAACATTTCATTACATATTTTATTTATTACATGTTATGAAATATATTTGGATCATGGATGCAAATATATTAATATATTAATGATATTATTAACGAAAGAGTAGTTGGTTTAATAAAAATATTTTTGATGTTCATAATCAATCTCTATAAACAATATTCAAATTTAAACACTTTTGATTTATGTACATAACCATGTTGTATTATAAATAAGAACAAATTAAGATTAGACTGAAGTTATTTGTTTAAATAATAACAATAACAATATCATTATATATATAAATAGTAACAGATTGCGACACATTTCAAACTTATACTAAGTTTCTTATACTTGTGTGAATTCTTTGTAGATATTTGTATCATAAATAACTTTATTAGTTGCCATTACATTTTATTTGACAAAAAAGATTTAAAATAAAAAGATACATTAGACTCTATTATGTAAATAAAACTAAAATGAAATAAGATGAATTAGATTTACAAATTTGTACATCTCTATTATTAAAACTAAAATTCTTTGCAATAATGATGCTATTGTCAAAATTAAACTGTAAAACAAACATTACAACATAAAGTATACATTTGTAGATTTTAATAATTAATTTACATAACTAGCAAAAAATCTGCGTGAATAATTATCTAAATGATTGTTATTGTAATCGTTACATAATATTAATGTATGCGTGTAATAAATTGCAAAAATTCTTGATTTGTTTAATGTATAACATAAAGTTACATAAGACTGATTTCCTCTTTATTTTTTTGTGCCCTACAATTCTCTTTATTTTTACTACTTATATGATTAACAAGGTAATTTTATTTCTGATAAAATATTGATCACTTTAATCTTTATATGTGTGTATAGAACATATGCAAGCAGTAAGAGAATGACTTTTACGAAATTTATATTTTATTACTTAATACTTAAAGATTTGATAATAACTGATAGCTAAAAAATATTTATTTGTTCTCTTATATAAAAATATTATAAATTGTTTGGTTTTTATGTATATAAAAATATTTAATGTATCTACTGGATTTGCTAAAGTACGTAAATATTTTAATGCCATGTTAAGCAATTTAGTTTTTCAAACTACAATTCCTTCAGAATATACTATGTACAATGAACAAAAACTTAATTTTCAAAAAATATTAGAATAGCGTAAAATGATATATATTTATTAAAAATTATGGATTTAGTGTTTATTAGTTGCATACGACAAGTAAGTCATCGAATATTATTAAAACGAGTGTATGAGTCAAGTTGATGCTAACTTCCGGTTCGATTCCTTCATTCCGAACGATCGTTAGAATTTGGAAGAAGAGTGACGCCACAGCCTTTAGGGAAGACGACATTTTACGTGAATCGCGCGTCCACGGCATGTCTGTGTAATTTCGTGCCAAATACTTAAAGTTTATTGTACAAATTGCGCTTACTAAAATCTCTTAAAGGAAAATTCACATACTTTAATAAAGTAAGTATTATCTTGTTTATATAAAGACGATTTCTTAGATAAAATGATGGTTCTAAAATTCTCGCAGAGTGTGGCCATTAATTTGGGGAATAAAGAAGGAAGTTATTGATTTTCACACTAGAAATACTATTAATTTTTGCAAAAGATTGTATATTTTATCATTCAAATATAGATATGTCGTTTCACGATTATAATATTTATTAAATGTGATAAGCGTTGAAGCACTTTGTTCAAAATCATGCACAATTACGAGCAGCATGAAATATATATTTTAATGATGGTATCGTGAGGAACTACATTTTACAATGTAGAAATGTTATCTATTAAAATATTTATGTATCTTGTAGAAAAAATTTGACACTGTTTTAATAATTTAAATAGATAATGATGTAAACCTTATTTTTATATATTATTGTCGATTTTGTGTTGAAGACGATATATATGAAAACTCTTAAATATTTTGGTAATTTCGTGTCACATTGCATAAGAACAATAAATAAGTACAATTAATATAACTGAAGGTTATAATACATATGAATGTATTTTAATGTTGTAATGCAATACATAAACATTCCTGTTTTGTCTATAGACTTTTGACACCATATCTGACATCTATAACCCATCTATAAGTCCTAATTATGAGTTATAGCTACCATAAATGCAGGTTGGTAATAGATTATGCACATGTAAATTTATATCCGCTTGGATTTTATATTTTGTTATTTTATATTATTCATAAATATATGTATATTTTCATTTAATATACCATTTTTGTTGTTGTAAATAATTTTTTACAAATTTTGATCTTAAATAAATTCTTTCTGTCACAAAGATATACTATGTATTAAATGTCAATGTCATTTAAATATGGTGCTTATTTTTATACCTAATATCATTTAAAAAAATAATAAAGTTATATATATAAAGCTCAGTATTAATTATAAAAAATATTTTATATATTTCTTATCTTTTTTTTATAGCTCTAGTATGAGTTCTCGTGGCCGTGGATTTAATTCTCGAGGAGGCAGTTCTTATAGGGGAAGAGGAGGTGGTAGTGGAAATGAATGGAACAGTGGATCCACAGGAGGAAATATGTCTAGCAGAGGAGGTTATTCCTCATCTAGAGGAGGCAGATTTAAATATTCAACTACCAGTTACGATTCTCGGTCAAAGTATAATTCTGGTTAGTTAATATTTGTGTACATTTAATATAATTCTTATGACCATAATAACAAATTTATATTACCTAATATTTTATGAAGAGCATTTATTTTATAAGTAATATTAAAAATTATTTATATTTATAACAGGAGGGTCTGAAAGATATTCTAGTAGAGGAGGAAGGGGTGAACATTCAAATAGTTATAAAAGACCAAGGGTAAGTATGTAAATAAATGAATTGTAACTTAAAGAATTGTGTGCATAGAGAGTGACATAAACTTGAAACATTATTATTTTATTTAGGAATCTTATTCTGGAAGAGATGAACATCGATCGTCGAGTGATTCAACTCGTAAAAGGATGAGAAGTGATTCATACCAGGTATATATTTTATACATATAAGCGTAGTGATATTTTTATTGCAAGACACCTCAAATAAGCGTTAGTCTATTTTGTTTCAATCTCCTGCCGTGCTGTGGTCAAGAATCATTTTTTCATCTTGAAAGCCCTGCTTCACAAATGTTTTCAAATTTTTAAATTACATAGCATGAACAAACGATGGTCCTGAAAGATTTTCAGATAAAATTTAACTATGAAATTTTAAGTATTTTGTTCCATATAAAAAATATTTTCAGGACACTCGTCTAAACATTTACATTTAAAAAAAATGAAACAGTAGGCAAGGCATTCATAAGTCGTCATACTTTCCTTTCAAGCGACGAGCCAACGGCTACTTGAACACCCATTCTTTTTGCGTTGGGACACTACTGGTGGAACACTGCGAAAACATCACATAATTAAAAGATGAAATACACCTAGATGGTACTTAATTATTGCCTGCACACAGTTGCATTAAATATTGAGAACAACCTGAAAAGTATCTGAACCAACAAATGAATAGATATATATATATATACATATACATATAGAAATATGAATTTTAAAATGCCAACATCAGTATTGTTCTCTATGTAAAACAATATGTGCAACTAAACCAGTTTCCTGCACAGTGCAGATCAGTTATTGAAATGTTGAAAGCATCCCTGCATTGCCACACCGCAAAAATTTTTAACAAATACTGCTCTATACAATTTTCTAAATTACATCCATTAAAACTTACCATTGAGATAATGAAATAAATTGTTAATAACGTCAAATCGTAGATCTTTCCAATGTAAAGGACATACATCCTAAGTTATGTTCAATTGAAAATGACTGAGAAACATCAACCTTTTTTAAATATATATCTGTACCTTATATCTATGGGTTGAAGCTAGACTGTGCTGGAAAGCTTTACAAAAGCAGTGAAAGTACACAAATATATTTTTCACATATTTTATCCTTAAAGAAAATATACAAGGATATAACATTATATGCATATAACTACAATTTTATTAGTTTTATTTGATTTCTTGGTTCATATAAGTGTGCATGAGGCATTGAACATTGTATGAAAGAATGCTTTACAAATATGAATATATAAAAATACATCTATCTTTATTAAAATTGGAAAGGTCTATCAACAATTAATCCAGAATCATGCAGAATTCAGTTCATTTGATATCTTCAAGCAAACGAATGCTGATCAAAGCTACTATTCAGAGCTCGTACATATGAAATGAAATGACAAGACTCCTATTATATTTTTTGAAAACTAAAAATTGTTTCTAATATAATAAAAAAAGCGGTATGCAAAGTTACTTATATTTGAAATATGAAAGATAAAATATAATTTAGGTGCTTTTCAAGCTTAGGCGAGGTAAATAATATTTTGGTGATCCAACGGGAATGGGTGTAGTGACCGTAACAGTACAAGGTTGGATGATTTTGTACTAAACGATTGGCACTATAATGAGTGGTAAAATAAGGGAGTGCAAAAGAATCAACTTGGAATGGAATTAGAAAAAAAATATATGGAGAATATCTGATAGGAGGGAACAAAGGGGAGGAATGTATATAGATTAAAAGAGAGAAGGGCAGGAAAAGAGAAAGATACAATGGGAAGGAGCACAATTGAATTTGATTTGGCAGGGTGGAGGTAGCGGTAGCGGCTCTCAGAGGTATTCTTCGTCGTATGGTGGTTCATCTGCATCAGCTCCTTATGACGATAATAAGGGATCGTCGTCTTCGGCCGTGTATGAGGACAAGAGACAAAGCGAACGTGCTTCGTCATATCATCGCTCAGAGGACCGTCATTCAGCATCGCGGAGCTATGCACCTCCACCACCCCCTCGAATTAGTGAAATGGCACCTCCAACTCAGAGATATACCTCGAGCCGAGGGCGAATATCGCATCAAAGCTCAAACTACAGAGGTCGCATTTCAACTCGTGGAAGCGGTAGAGGGGGTGGATTCCATCGTATGAGCTCTCGATCGGACGTCATCATGGCTCGCAAGCGTACTCTACACTCGCTCGACTATCGACGCAAGCTGCTAGGATCGCGATCGCGAGACTACATCCAGCGTGTGCGCATGACCACAACCAAATTGCGCAGGAGGTAATTAATTAATAAATCAC